CGCTCTGGAGTGGATCAGAACGCTGGTTTCATGTTTCGATGTGAACATATGAGCAAAGTATTTTTTCTTTTTCTTAAAAAAACAATGATATCAAAGCTCCATCTGTCTCAATCCCGCATACGCCTCACTTTCACAAATAAGAAACAAGGTGCCACCAAGAGGTCCGGCATACCAAATACATTATTTTCTGCGGTGTGGGCAACATTTTAAAAATTATTTACAGAAAATATACTGTCTCTGTTTAGACAGGACCTACATTCAGGAGCTAACACTGCACCTAGCCTTTGCTTTGGCCTTTTCTAGAGTTCCTTTCTATATCACTCTTTCAATATTTTGTGATTACTCCTTTGTCGTGGTGGATGGGGTTGAAATACAGAAACAGTTTGTAGGAGCTACATTGTGAAGAGAAGTTCACTGTGTTGAAATGACTGGACTTAGAATGATCATGTCAGCCATGCAAATCATTCTTCTCTGCTTTTAAACTTTTGTCACCTTCTCTTTAAATGTCCCATTTCCTTTTTGTGCATTTTTTTACAATCTTCTCTTCAAATCATTGCAATTCAAACAAATGCAGCTATCATCGCTGTTTATCCATCTTCATTTTGATAAAGCAAGGCTCTACTGTAAACAACCATACTTAGATTTTACTTAGCAGATGTCGTGGCATAACCTGCACAGTTCCTTCTTCCACATTTTTCTTATATTCAATCTGAAAATAACTCATTCAACAGATTTCTGGAGATTAATACTAAAATAAAGGCTCTTGTCATCCTTCTGTCCTTTATTTTTTGTGATTTAAGCTTTGTCTGCTTTCAGGTTATCTGTCAATGCAAGCATATTTTTAGCAACCGCACATATGTGAACATATCCTGCATCTACAGAAAACATGGCAGTGTACTTGTTGTTGAGTCAGTTTTTCTAATGGCCTGGGATTATATTCTTGTCATTTTGTCACTAATCACCAGTTGGAGATCACAGAAGCTTTGGTTGGCATAAAGTTCGGACTTGTTATCCAGAATAACCACCTTGACTGAGACTGTTTAGATATAACACCAAAAATTAAAGAAAAATCTGAGCAGTACAGTTCTGTACTGGCTTAACACTCCAAAAATAAATGCATAAGTAATTCCTAACCATTTTGCTCATGCACATATGATACATTATTATTCACAATTATTATTTTATTTATGGGAATTGTACTTATTATTTCAAAGACAGACTGTTTTACTTCACTGTAAATCTTCCATTTAAGATGCCCACAAGTTCTCAGTTCGGTTCAGATCAGCTGAGGAAAGGGTCAATGTCATAAGTGTTTTTTTTGTCTTTTAGCACTTTTTCTGGTTAGCAATGCAGAGATGCAGTAGTTGGATTTATTTTAATGGAGCATTGTCCTGCATAAAAAATATAGTTTTTATGAAAGATGCAGACATCCTGTATCACTGCTTGAAGAAAGCACCTTCAAAAAACTGGCAGAAGGTTTGATTTTAAACCTATTGTCAACCTAAAGAGATCCGTCCAGCACCTCTTTGATCATGCCAGTTCATACCAGTACCTCGCCTCCCCTTGCTGGCGTCTGACTCCAAGTGGAGCTCTGTGGCCATTATTGATCCAGCCATTGGTCTATCCATCTGGTCTGTGAAGTCACTCTCATTTGATCAGTCCATTAAACCTTCAAAAAACATCTGTTTTCAGATATTTCTTGGCCCAGTTGTGGCACTTTAGCTTATGTGTCTTGTTTGTTGGAGGTTGGGTTTCAGCCGTCCTTACCTTGGCGGTAAGGACCAATGTCTCTGAACCCTGAACATCTTGTACTTTTGGATACTTTAGGTAAGTTGGAGGAATTGAATATAACGGGTAGCTTCACGCTTGATTCTTCTCAAAAACTTTGCAGAAAAATTTGCATCTTTTCCCCTCTCTTGTGACCCTGTTGACGTTTTTGCAACAAAATATTTGAAAAGTCAAAAATGACTGATTCAGCACTCTTGAACTTGCTAAGATATTAGGGCATGACCACAAAACCATCAGAATCAGCAAATCCTTTTTTGGCCCATCTTGCCTAAAGTAAAGAAGCTACTTACTAATTATCCACACCTCGACATTGGGTCTTTGACCTGCTTAGGCCACACCGTCCCTCATTATACATGCAGCACATGCTGTGCTGAAAACATTCTGCTTTATCTAACTTGGAGTTAGAATATATGACTAAAATTATGATATGGTGAAAAAGTAATGAGGACGTGTGCAAAACATTAGCTTCCATCTTTACAAAATGCTGGTTTGGCTTATTATCATTGTCTGACATTTTCACTTCAAAATGGGTCAGACATTAATGGGCAATAATGCATCTTGTGCATCTGCCTTTGTTCCACAGATGTTTATCCACTTGCTGGCAAACTCTGACCGTCCTACTGTGTCAAGGTCATATATTGCTGGAGATCTTTGAGCTTCTGTCAGAAGTTGAAGATGGTTTCACTGTCATCAGATTACCCTGAGATCTGAAGTGTTTTGTTGGTTTTAAAGGAATGCGTATTCAACATAAAACGGAAAAGTTAAAAGGTTTTGAATATTATGTTAATTGTTATAACATAAACTAGTGGAGACTTGGTTGAGACTGGAGTTTAAACTAGAGCAAGTTTAAATAGAAATAGAGGTATCCTTTATTGTCCCACAAATGGGGGGGAAACAACTGCACCAAAACATAAAAAACTGGGGAACATTAAGATTTCTCATGCGGCTACAGTGGAGAACTGAAGATGGGCTAAATCAAAGCTTTATCAGCTTACGCCATTTTCAACAGCTGTGTGATGCATAGCTCGCTCTGGATGTTGCTGAATACTCAACCTGGAACAAAGTCAAGCTGAATGTAAACATCCAGAGGGGATTTCCCAACAGCTGCGCTTTTATGTTGTATTCATGTAAAAATGCCTCAACAGGCTAAGTATGAAAAACATTGCTTTTTTTTTATTCTCAAATATCAGCACAGTTTTATTGAAAACATATTAGACTCCACATTAACAATTTGTAGTTTTTAAATGTTATATAATTCGTCCTTCCGTTCGGCTGGTGGCTGTATCCACTCATCCTTTAATAATAATAATAATAATAATAATAATAATAATAAAAAAAACAAATCTGCAGTGTGTTCTAGAGTGGTCACTTTTTGTTTCCACTGATATTTCGTATTTGCGAGCTCACACTAGTCGGCCTGTGTTTGGTTTCTCTGCTCTTTTGTCGGATCTGTTATCTAAAAAGGTCAAGTGTATGTTGGTGTTGCAACATTGTGGCTTCTAGAGAACCTCAAAGCAAAGTTATTTACAGATGATGGAGAGACACTCCAGTCACTGCAGGGTTCTGCAGAATACAAAACTGGAAGCTTTGATTCCAGGTCCCCCTCTGTGTGGGTGGGTGGTGATAAAGGGCAACAGTGAGGTAAAAGGTTCACTTTGAATAATATTACTAATGATGAACCTTTAAATAATCTGGTGAAGACTTGATTAGCGGGGCAAATGCTGAGTCATTGATGCCATTCTTGCAAACTGTACATAAAAACACACTGATCAGAGTTTGTGTGTCTGATCACAAATTTTGTTAAGCACTGACCTGCAATACAGATGTTACTCAGTTCTGTTATATTTAATAGCAATACATTTAGTAACTATCCACGACTGGTTTAACATGTTGCTCTAAATATGTTGTAATTTTTCTGTTAACATGAAAGTTTTTGTTTGTGATGCTTAAAAACTCATAAATTCAAAAATTTTATATCTTTGTACAATTTTTGCCACGAGACATTCAGGGATTTCTCACATGCATGAATGAATCAAAACCACTTCTCCAGGTGTGTTTTTGATGAGACGGTGACATTATTAAAGTCACATTGATATGTAGTTGATGTTGCATAATACGTCCTCTTAAGCTCTTCTAAAAGATAAACCAAATTTTCATTTATTCAATTAACTTCCTGAATCATTTGTTGTCTAATTCCAGTTGTGGCAAACTACCTGAAATTACTTGATGGGTGCCTTCGTTTCCTTTCTAGTAGCTTTTTTGACCTTTTTGGGTTCCTGTTTTCAAACTCCAGCGATACTAAACATAGCTAGCTTTGAGTCCAAAAAAGATCAGATATTTAGTTACATAGCTGATTACAACATGGGTCAGAGAAGCTTAAAATTCTACAATTATGATCACAAGATAACGTCTTGTTGAATCCCTAGTATTAGATTATTGTAGCTTTATTGTGAACAGGTAGACTTAAGTTTAATCTACAGATATTTAAAATTATTCTGGCTCTATCTTATAGATCTATCTATAGCTTGTTCTATAAATGCATCTAAATGGCTTTGAATTAACTTTTTCAGTTAAGTACATTCTGCCTCCTTAGCTTTTCTAATAGCATTGTCGTTGCAGAACAGGATAACTGGTCCAGATTGATTAATGCCAATAATTACTTGACGACAATCGTGGGGAATGTGTCGTTCAGAGAGTGACTGCACAGAAAAGGTCAGTCACTGCAGAGTGCAGTAGCAGTTTACTTATTGGTGAGACAGCAGCAGCGGGTTCGTGGCTCAGCCCATCCTCCCTGTGACAGCGCAGCGTTACGTCCTGCATCCCTGCTCTGTCGTCAGAGGAGCCCCAGCCTCCCACCCGCGCACAACTCGGCTCCTCTCTGCACCAGAAAGGAGCAATCTCATCTCTCCTTGTCTTTTATGTCCTCGCTCACTCTCTGTCAGTTAGTGTGTGTACTCAGAATGAGGTTAGCAGCACCAGCAGCAGCAGTAGATAGAGACAGCAGAGGCACAGTTACTGCAGCAGCCAGGAGAGGCTGTCCTTCAGCTGTGCACCATCTACTGCTGCATTCACCCCTGCCCTGAGAACACAACGCTCATTCCTGTGCTCTCTTTCTCTCTCTCTCTGTGTTTCTTCCTGCTCCTTCTCTCACCTCTCCGAATTCATTTCTGGAATTCGACACCCTCTCTTTTCTTCCTCTTTCTCTGTAGCAGTGATGGGGAGGACCACCACGTAGAGACCGAGAGGCAACAAAGGCAAAAGCAGAAGAGCAGTAATGGGAAGCCACACATGGAGCGGGTCTGGACTGCAGCCGTGGTGAGCCTGAGAGCTACAGGACCTGAGACCATCATCATTGCCCTCCTCAGGACCTAACCACTTGGGCTGTCCAGCACCTGGATGCTCCCCATTTGTGATTTGCCACCCCCCTTTTCCTTCCCCTGTGCCGTTGCTCTCTTTCCTGGACTTTAGTTTTCTTTTTTTTTTTTCTTTTTTTTGTGTTATTTTTCATCTGTTAAAATTTGCTTAACCTGAAACAGAGGCGTCTCATCCTTGGATTTTTTTTTTATTTCTTTTTGTAATAATCTTTATCCCCAAGAATTACTTGCATTTTCTTCTATTTTTTTTTAGTCATTATTGCCTGCTTGAAATTATTTTTAGATTTTTTTTTTTTTTTATCAGACTGAGCTCTGTTGTGCAATTTTTCTTCAATAAGCAATAACAAACACTAATCCAACTGACTTGAAAGCTGACACCATGGGGGACATGTCCAATAGCGATTTTTATGCCAAGAACCAAAGAAATGAGGGCAACCATGAGGCTGGCTTTGGTTGCTCTGTTATGGAGCTGCGATCGTTGATGGAGCTTCGTGGCACAGAGGCAGTGGTCAAGCTCCAAGAGGACTATGGGGCAGTGGAGGGACTGTGCAAGCGATTGAAAACCTCACCCACTGAAGGTAAATCTATATTTTCTACTTGTGCACATGAAATGAGTAGTGGTGGTGTGTTACATTAAACATCTTATGTTTAGAGAGAATACTGTTCGTGCACTACTGTGTAGTATGTAGCTATGCAAATTAATTCCTTACATTAGTATGTGCTTGTGTTTTTTTTTTTTTTTGTTTTTTTTAAATGCAACCTGTGATAGAGGTACATAGCTGCAGAAGTGTTCATGAAGCATTTGGAGAATACGTAAGCACAGCATCAGAATAACACATGAGGTTGGGGGATCCCATTTTAGGTACATATGAAAAATTTGCGCTGTGCAGTGAGTGAGAAATCTGTTTAGTATGCACAGAAATATCTCTGGACAGTTTAGCCCACATCGCTCCCCTCCCCACCAGAAGCATCCCACCATCTCTGGTCATCTTCCTTTTCAGCCAATCAGGTGCAGATTTATTAAAGTAAAGGTACTGCTCCACGTGGGGTGGGCTGCAGGGTTTGCCAGTGTGAACTGAATGTGGTTGGAATCAAAAGAGCAAGAAACATATTTTTTATTTTTTTATTTAATGTTCTGCAATATATATATATATATATATATATATATATATATATATATATGTGTGTGTGTGTTTTTTTAATGTGATGTATAAATGTATTTTGGCACAGGGAGGCTATAATCCCATATGCTTAGTCACCTCTAGCCAAATTCTCTTTACTGTTCATGTTCTTATGTAATCACCATAACTGTGTGATATTTGAACTACTCAATTTACTTTGAAGTCTGACTTTCGAACTCCAGTCATGCATCATTGTCATATAGACACAACAGAGGAGACCAAATATATTCAGAAATAATTATTAACTAATTAAAATGTTGAACATTTATTCCCCCTTCAGGTCTCCATTTTAATTAATACTCATCTTTTTTTGTTTGTTTTATTAGCATCTTTGCACTTCCATTTTGTTTTTGAAATATTCTGCTATGAAATGTCAAAAATTAAAAACTGTTCCAGTTACAAAAGATTAATTACAGAAATAACCAAAATTTAACTGAAAAGGAAAAAAATGGCTTTGAATTTTGACTCAGGTAAATGATCAGTTCTTAATCTTGAACTTACACAGCAGTCTGGTTTCTTGTAAGGGATACCCAGAATATATTTATGTATGGGTTTCTTTGAAGGTAATGCTGATAACAGCACAAGGCCGTCTGGTGATTCCTATTAATCATTTAGGGGCTGGATGGGTTGTCGAGCTACTGCTCGGTTTTCTAAGAATGGAGACATTGGGATCCTTGATTAGAAATCTGCTTCTTTTTAGAGACTGGTGGAAACATTGCTGTTCTGAGCTGTTCTAAAAGGAAACAAAGCTTGGGATTCAATTAAGCTTAACGATCAAAAGAATGCAGAGAAGTTCGGGGTCATCTTTGCGAAAGTTAAAAAGCAAAGAACCAAAGTATTTTTCATCACAATCTCTGGGGGCACAATCATTGGTGACCAAAAGCTGTTAACAGCAATTTAATTAAAGTAATTTTGCAAAAATAGAGTGCATAGGAACTTCTAATTAGGTCATATAAACTAGGAACAAATTATCCTTTTGTTTTGACCTTTTGTTTACCTGGAACATATGTATGCAATAGACAGACTAGTTTTTTAGGCCATGAACCATTTGATCTGATTAGGCATGTCAATGTTCTACCATGGACAGTGATTTATGGGTTAGAGTAGTGAAAAATCTCCAAAACACAGTGTTAGAAACCTGCAGCAAAGACTGTGATCTGTTTCTTGTGTGAGTCTCCACGATGATCATTTGACAAATATAGATGCCAACCAGGAGTGATGCCAGAAGAGTAGTTTTCAATTACAGTCGCACGTAAATGTGTGACATTCACCATTCTCTACTAGAACTTTAATTGGAACCATGTGCTTTGACCAGATGAAGTAAGATTGAGATGCCTGTAACACAAACACTTCAAATTGGTCTGCTGTGAAGCGAAAGGATGAGTATTTGTTGAAGAGCCTAATACCCAATATAATGTAAGGGGGAGAATCTGTGATGCTTGGTATCTAAGTTATTTGAAAAACCTTGGAGATTTTTAGAATAGCTTTTACAACAAGGTAATGATGATACAACAGATGTGACCAAATCAACACAAAAATGTTTTGCTTCGATCGAAAATAATGTTTTGTTAGATATGTTTTCTTCTCTTCATGATGCATTTTTTGACTGATTTGTTAAAAGTTAACTCAACTGACCTAGACCAAGGAGTGAACATTAGTATCTGCAATCAGGTAGAAAGTTAATCACAGGATGACAGCAAGATGGTGAAAGATGGAGGAACAAATCCAAAAAGATTAGGATTTGCCAACTTCCTATGCCAACTTAACATTTCATAGCTGAACAGCATGTCACTATTAAAACCTTTGAACATTTTGAATATCTCTATGGAAGACTAGGTCAACTTCCTGATCAGTTTTTTGAGATGTTCAACTCAATGTGTTGCGCGTAGATCAAAACAAAGGCAACACATTTTAGTCGGCCTTCAGGAACTTGAGCTCGACACAAGGGGAGCGACAAGCAACAGCAACAAGCAAATGTTTTCCACAACACACGAGACGCAAACGGTGACAAAAGTTGAACATGTGGGCACATTTACGAGCAGTCTAGACCCCCCAGTGAATGAGCAAAAAGAAACAAAGAAGACAATGATGGAAATGGCAGAACTTCTCCATTCATATTCTGTAATGTATTTAATGGACACACAGACTTTCTCTTCTGTGGTACCATCTTAATGTCTCTTTCTGAGATCGTACATTATCAAGATGTGATGCATCTTTGCCATGTTTGATTTTTGTCTGAAAACTTCCACCAGTTTCCAATTCAGAACTGTCCTCTGTACCGCTTTATATTTACTCTGTAGAACATATGTGATGATGCTTGTTGTCATCATGTGTTTGTAAGTTGTGTCTCAGGAGGCTGCAGTTGACCCTGTATAAAATGCCCTCACTGAGGTTAATTTATTATCCTATGAGGCATGAAGACATAAAGCATCTGAAGTGACAAAAATGGTAAACCTACCATATCTTTGTCACAAGAAGAGGTTAAATGTATCTCGGGCTGCTGAAGAGAATGCTTAAGTATTTCTTGTACATTTTACTGCAATGAAGAAACCAGACATTCAAGAGCCACAATTCAGGGAAAAAGCAGAACGGACAATGGTTTCTCTGGCTCTGATTCTTTGCTCTTCTTAGTATTCCCCTTCCTTGCACCATACTCCTGCAGGCAGGATGCAGTTACGCACGTGTCACCTTGTAGGTAACGGTGAGGTGATGTCTTGGCTTTGCTGTCAGACAGCCAACAGGTTAATGGCATGATTCTGTCTTAGGTTGGAAGCTAAGTTGTCAACCTAGATTTTAGTTTCCAAGAACGTGTTGTGAATGTGACCTGATTCTTTGATAAGAGTGAACTGCTTGGTACCAACAGTACAACTATTTCATCAAGCGAATGTTTAACGCAGTAATAATACATTGGAAGGTTTCTTTGGGTAGGGCACATTAAGTTTATAATAGAAATAAAAGCACTTCTATTTTTGCTGAACCAGGATGAAGAAAAAGCACTTAAGTCACCAATACTATTTGATGTTGTAGTAGAGACTAAGAACGTACTCATAAAGATCTTTGCCAAAAAGGAATAGAAGGAATATGTGTACATGCAACAATCTTTTAACAAAAAAAATCTGCATACAAGACAAAAACACCTTTGTCACACAACTTACCACATATTTTTACAAGTTTGTGCCAAACACTTTTATATGTAGCTTTGTAATTTTTGTTCTGTTTGGGAACCTTACTCCGTTATGTGAACAGTGTAAGAGTTGGATCAAAAAACAATCTTGTGGTTTTATCACAAGATTGGAATAAAACCAATCTTGATCTAAATGCAACAAATTTAGATCTGTACCTTAACCTTCTTACACTGCAAAAACACAAAAGTATTTATGGTCTAGCTCCTAGTGGCAGATTATAGCAAGACTTTATAAGTGAAATAATCTTACTTAAAGACTTAAAACAGAGGTTCTAACTCAGAACATTGTGGTGGTTGAAATGTTTGGCCTGTGATTTACATTCCTGCAATAAACAAATGCAGGCATAACGTCGGTCTGAGAGCGACACGGTGTAGAGGAACGTAATTGTGAGTTTAATAATGAGCAGCACCAGGAACACATGTCGACACATGCAGTCTTGCAAGCAGCATAGTTCTCTGAAGAACATGCATGCAATGAAGAAGTGAGAAATGGTCCAGCTCCGGTCAACGTTCTGTTGGAACAATGGCTTTGTGCTGCCCGGTGTAAAAATCCGTAACTACATAATATTAGTTTGACATGATGTGCATTATTTTCTTTATTTGAAATTTTCTTTGAAATAAAGTTAATGCATGGATAGTGGTTCACAACTTTTGACTGCATTACCTAAATTAAAAAGGCTTTAATGCGTATGAACTTCTACAAAATAGTTATTTTTATAAGTAGCAAAACAATCAGCTAATTTGAAGTGTTTAATTATGTTTGGGCCAGCAAGGGATCTCCAGAAGACAAATAGAAATCGATTAAAACCACAACCTCAAGGCTCTCCATTGCTGAGTGTCGCTGCTAACATCGTTGGAGAGCTAACCACAACTCCTGCTCACGGCCCACCCACGTTACCGCCCATATGCACGTCCATGATAATGAGGAACAGACCATAACGGAGATGCTGCAAACTGAACCAGACATTAACCAGTTAGAGTGAGACTTGACAACAGAGAAGCATCTGTTTGGCATAGATTATGTGGGAATTTTGTAGTTGTCAATTCCAATCCCTGGTTTGAAGAAATAAAACATGCTCAAGTTTGTTGTTTTATTGTGACAAATTTCAAACAAGCCTAAGGGATGTGAATATTTTTGTACGCTGCTCATCCAAAGCAGAGATTAATATTTACATTGCTGTGCTTACATTAGCTTAATGTAGATTTTGCGGTA